GTGCTTGTTCTACATAAGGTGACATTTACAGAGTCCAGGAGTTAGGACATGAATACTTTTGGTGGTGGGGGGCAGCGGGCATTCTCAGCCTACCATACATACCTACTGTTTTAAAGCTCAGTATGCTCCAGATACAATGCTAAACACATATATGCATTTTCACTTATGTGCATTTCACTTACATATGTTACCATACTTCATTTATACATATAGAAATGGAGTCTCCGAGAGCTTGAGTGACTTGACTCAGGTCACACAGCTATTTAGTGGTGAAGCCAGGGTGAACCCAGGCAATCTGACCTCCGAGTTTGAATATTTAACTGCTCTGCTGTGTTGCTTTCCCATTATATGCTTAAGCTAACTAATTAGCAAAGGGCATATCTATTTTCCTGGATATAATATATTTGGTGACTTCTTACTAATGGTGTGACTTTTGGTATCTTTATAGTTTCCAAATTGAAAGGTCTTTTTAAGGAGAGGCACTTGAACTGGGAGGACCTTATCTAACATTTAGAATAAAAATTACTGTTGCCTAGAGAAGATAGACCAAGTAAATAACATTTCTCACATAATGGATCCTAGACAAGCACATCACATTTACATAAACCCAATCTCTGTTGTTGAGGGTCTAAAGAACTAGAATAGGCAAGCTGTGCTCTTTTGTGCAAAGCTCTTCAGGGGAACTGATTGCTTTGAGCACTTAGAGGCACTTCTCTATAATTAGTTTTGGATGGATTTATTTGGCTTTCCTGGGAAAAGTAGATCTAGAGGTGAAATCCGAATGAGGTTAGAGAAGAGGTGATTCTTGTGTTGATCAAAGTTCAAAATGAGAAGATACGTAATGGATTCCAGATTAGGATCTGTTCAGCATTTGCTATGCTATTCCTTTAACAGCTTGCTGATTTTCCACATATGACCTGGTAGTCTAAAAATTCAGATCACACAGAAACTTCAGTCTTGTTTAGATTGAGGCTTTAGGCTTATGAATCTCTTTTTCCATATGTTTCTTCTTGGGGGCAGATTCTAAATTTAGGAAAGTAATGGTGTCGGAGGCCTAAGAGTGATTTCTTGAGCTTTTGTTTTTATTGCTGTCTCATTATGATGGCATGGCCATCCCTTCCTCAATGTGACATGCCTGCACAGGTGTGCAGGTGGCTAAAGGATTCAAGAGATGGGACTTGGATGGCAGATGGTCATGCCTTGTCCTGATTCCAACCACACTTTGAACATTCTGTCCCTCCTCTGACATGCCTCACTTCAGATGGCAACCTCATTTGGAGGTAAATTGTTTTTCACTGTGCTTTTCGTGTTGGAGTTGACCTCGTGCCTGGCACTGTGTGAAATGAATTGGCCTACTTTCTGCCCCACGGATATCAGAGGCTTATTGGTATTTAGTGAATGCTTTGTCATTTTGATCCTAGAAAATAGAGCCTGAAGAGATCTTTTAATTTTACTAAGATCATCCCATCTACCTTATTGCAGTATCTCCCTAAAGACAGATGCTTTATGAATGAAGGAGTTCTAGAGTCAACTAAGTTGGGATGCTTCACAGAAAGAAGTGTTTTGAGGCCAAATGACTTTAGAAAATGTTGATTTTCCCCTTCCTTCTATCATCCCTGTAGCTGAAATATTGACAACCACACCTTATCTCTTTAGCTCCCCTCTGAGTACCATGGTAGGTATTTCTGGCATTTTTATAGTTTCTCACTTTCATCCAGGTTCTTTCCTTCTTTGCCTGAGGAATTTCTTCAGCAATCTGGGAGAGTCTGTTCTCCTGCTGGTAAAACCGGAAAGTGTGGGTGAGTTTAGCCGGGCGCGGTGGCTCACGCCTGTTATCCCAGCACTTTGGGAGGCCGAGGCAGGCAGATCACGAGGTCTGGAGATCGAGACCATCCTGGCTAACACCGTGAAACCCTGTCTCTAGTAAAAATACAAAAAATTAGCCGGGCGTGGTGGCGGGCACCTGTAGTCCCAGCTACTCGGGAGGCTGAGGCAGGAGAATGGCATGAACCTCGGAGGCAGAGCTTGCCGTGAGCCAAGACTGCAGCACTGCACTCCAGCCTGGGCGACAGAGCGAAACTCCATCTGGAAAAAAAAAAAAAAAGAAAGTATGGGTGAGTTTACACCCTCAGAGCAACCCGCAATCATGGAAAAATTGGACTTGATAGATAAATGCCTAGGCCTCCCCACCCTCTGTGAAACAATTCCAAAGCCATGTCATAGTTTCTTAGACAGTTTCCAGCAGAACTGAGCTCTACTTACTCATGGCACTAACTTGTTCATTAACGCAATCTTACTGTTTCCTCATTTCCCTATCAATCTTCCCTGTCTCATTTGTGTCTCTTATTTTTGCCTTTGACATTAACTACCTGCACCCAAGTCTTTGTCTAAGAGTATGTTTTAGGGGACGTTCTCCAATTCTTTGGATAATCCTAATTTATAGTAGCTTTGAGAAGTACAGAAATGTCTCTTATCCTGTTTCCTAAACATCCTCCCACAGACCTTTTTTAACTTTAACATTCTGTGCATCTGATGTTTTTCACTGTAGTTCCTGAATTGCTGTGGTTCCTGGAGATATTTCAGGTAGAAGTATTCTAAAGAGCTTCCCATAAAAGAGAGCGTACAGCCCATTTTTGTGTTTGACTATCCTTTGCAAAAACTTCAAGGCCACAGGTCCACAAGGGACCTTATAGTGTATTTACTCATTTTATTAATGGAGAAATAAAGACCTGGAGTGTTGAACTCTCATTTGGCTCAATCATCTGAGATTATATAGGAAGTGTACATACAAATTCTTTAGCCCAAGGGTCAGTAAACTATGGTTCATGGGCAAAACTCAGCCTGCTGTCTTTGTATATAGCCCACAAGCTAAGAATAGTTATGGCATTTTTTAATGATTGAAAAGAAATTTTAAAATAATATTTTATGACATATGAAAATTAATATGAAACTTAAATTTTAGCATTGCTGAATAAAGTTTTAGTGGGACATGGCCACACCCATTTTTTTAATCCATTGTCTACAGCTGCTTTAGTGCTAAAATGGCAGATTTGAGTTGTGACAGAGACGGTATGACTTGCAAATATTTACTAGGTGATCTGCTACAAAAACATAAATATAAATATAAATATTAGTATTAATAGAAAATATTTACTAGGTGATTTTTTACAAAAAAAATTTGCTAATCCCCACTTTAGATTTCCAATACATGATGAATGGAATTGCATTATCTGCATAAGTCAATATAGTGTAGCCAAGAGATCATAGAATTGGGAATAGTGCATAGGGATTTTATTTTATGCAGCGCTGCTAGCAAGCTTCATTGGATTTTGGACAAATGAGGTCACATCTTTAAATATCAACTTCCTTATTTGTAAAATGAAGTGACTGGACTGAATGCTTCTCAGTGTTCACTCATGTTCTATGTTTTCTTGGATTCTGTATTTGTCTATTTGGCATTCATTAATCACAGGGCCAAACCAGTGGGTAAAGTTGTTTACATATCCCCTGTGAACAAAATCCTATTACAAATTCTCCAACCAATCCTGAGTCCATAAGCTCAACCACCTCATTTCTCTAAGTCCCACACACCATTTCAATACTTCCCCTGCTCTAAATCATACCAGGCAACTAGACACCACTCCTATGCTATATCAGAGCCCACAGACATTATTCCAAGTAGCCAGTACTAAGCTGTTTCTCCTCTCCTGCCTTGCCTCTCACGAAGAAAATACCATAAAGGCTCTAGGCCATGCTCCTTCCTGCTTCTGCCTCCTGATCTACTCTGCTGCTTCCCCATGTGGCCTCACATGGTGTGCTGGGCCTCTAGTTTCTAGGGGAACTGTGAGTAACAACAAATTGTTCTTTCAATGGCCTTGACCTCTTCATATCATCACTCACTCCCCTGCAATAAATTAAGACTGGACACAAATCACTTAAGTGCAAATAATTTATCATTCTGTGCAATTATCTCAGATTTAACATACATAATACTGGAATGGGGTTTGTTCCTAATGTTCAGCCTAAGCCAAACCTCCGTTATTGCCGTTCAGTTCCTTCAGTCTTCATCCATGAACTGTGAGAAAGAAAGTACTTAAGGCTGCATCCCTGCTGCACAGGGAGACTTTGCCTATTTCTGAAGTTCATATGACCTGTAAAGAAGACTCCTAGTTTGCCTTCTGATAAATCAAAAACTGAGTTTCAGGAAAACTTTTTCATCATACAGTTTTTCAATTGTCTTTTTTCTTCACACTGCTCTAAATCACCGAACTACTTGTACTTTCGACTTAGTCCAATATGCGCTGTACTGTATTAACTTTTCTCCAAGTTGTTTCCTTTTTAAATTTTTTTATTTTTTAATTAATTAGTTAATTAATTAATTAATTTTTAGAGACAGGGTCTTACTCTGTCACCCAGGTTAGAGTGCAGTGGTGCGATCATAGCTCACTATAGCCTCAAACTCCTGGGCTCGAGGGATCCTCCCCTGACTCCTGTCTCAGCCTCTTAAATAACTTGGACTACAGGTGTGCACCACCATGCCTAGCTTTTTTTTTTTTTTTTTTGGTAGAGATGGGGTCTTGCTCTGGTACTCAGGCTATTCTCAAACACCTAGGCTCAGCTTTTCGAAGAACTGGGATCATAAGAATAAGCCATTGCGCCCAGTCTGGTGTTTCCTTTTTTTTTTTCCTGTCAAGTACAACTATACTTTTTTTCCAAAAGTTTTCTGTCTTTCAGCACCTCCCCACACAACTGGCACTGTCATTTCCCTTTTAAGGATCCCCTCTCTAGATGCCCTTAGGAATAAAGGTTGATTAGGACCTACAGGGGCATACTGGTGGCACAAATGAGTGAAATAGACTGGGCATAATGCAGTAGGGGTGATGGAAGCCATTGTAAAGAAACAGACCTATACTCTGTTAATAGCTGTTATTTCTGTTTGAGCAATTATTGTCACATGAGAATTCTGTCCAATGTTGACAAATCTTTTAACTTTTCAACAGAAGGCAGAGCAAGATGGCCAAATAGAAGCCTCCAGCAATTATACCCCCCACAGGAACAACAAATTAAGCAACACAAACAAGAAAATCACCTTCATAAAATTGAGAAATCAGGTGAGCAATCACAATACCTGGCTTTAACTTTATATCACTGGAAGAGGTCCTGAAGAGTGTAGGAAAGACAGCTTCGAATTGCCTACCTCACTTCTTCCTTAACCCATGTGGCTCAGAGAGAATCTGTGCACTTTGGAGAGGGTGAATGCAGTAACCGTGGAATTTTGCATATGACCTCAGGGCTGCCCTATCACAGTGGAAAGCAACAGAGGGCAGAAACTCAGATGGCACCCGCAGAGGGAGCATTTAGTCCAGCCCTAGCCAGAGGAGAATCACTTATCCCGGCTGTTGGAACCTGAGTTCCAGCAAGCCTCACCACTACCACTGTTGGCTAAAGTGCTGTGGGGTTCAAAATAAACTTGAAAGGCAGTCTAAGCCACAAGCACTGCAATTCCTGGGCAAATCTCAGTGCTGTGCTTGGCTCAGAGCCAGTGGACTTGGGGCACACATGACCCAGTGAGCCACCAGCTGGGATGGCCAGGGGAGTGTCACCTCTCCCCCAACCCCAGGCAGCACAGAGAGAAACTTCTTTCTTCTGCTTGAGGAGAGGAGAGGGAAGAGGAAAGAGGGCTTTGTCTTGGAACTTGGATATCCACTCAGCAACAGTAGAATGGGGCACAAGGCAGAGTCCTGAGGCCTCTTTTCTAGGCCCTAGCTCCCAGATGACTTTTCTAGACACACTCTGGGCTAAAAGGAAACCTGCTGTCTTGAAGGGAGGGACTCAGTCCTGGAAGAATTTTTCACCTACTGATTAAGGAGTCCTTGGGTCCTGAATAATCAGCAGTAGCAACCAAGCAGTATTCACCTTGGGCCTTGGATGAGTCTCAGAGCCATGCTGGCTTCATGTGTGACCCAGCACATTCCCAGCTGTGGGTCTTACAAAAGAGACTTCTTTTGCTTAAGGAAAGAAGAGGTAAGAAGAGTAAGGGGACTCTTCTGAAGCTTGGGTACCACCAGCTCTACCCAGCGATGTAGAGTACCAAGTGGGCTCCTGGGGTTCCTGATTCCAGGCTTTGGCTCCTGGACAGCATTTCTCGATCCTTCCTGGGCCATAGAGGAGCCTACTTCCATGAAAAGAGAATCCCAGGCTTGGTAGCATGCACACAAGCTGACTGAAGAGCCCTTGGGCCTTGAGTGAACATGGCGGTAGCCAGGTAGTGCTTACTGTGGGCCTGGGGCAGTGGTGGCCATGGGGAGAGACTCATCTGCTTGAGAAAAGGGGAGAGAAGAGTGAGAAGGACTTTGTCTTAAGGCTTGGGTGCCAGCCCAGCAGTAGTAGAACAAAGTAGCGAGTAGATCCCTAAGGTTCTTGACTCCAGGTCCTGGCTCCTGGATGACATCTCTGGACCCACACCCACTATGGGCCAAGAAGAACTCACTGCACTAAAAGGAAGGACGTGAGCTTGGCTGTATTTGCCATATACTGGTTATAGAGGCCTTGATGAACATAGGTGATAGCCAAGCAGTGGTAACTGCGGACCTTGAGTGAGACCCCAGTGCTGGCTTTGGGTCTGACCCAGCACAGTCCCAGTTGTGGTGGCCACAGGAGTGCTTCAGTCACTCCTCCCTTAGCTTCAAGTGGAGACAGAGAGATGGAGAGAGAGACAGACAGACAGACAGACAGAGAGAGAGACACAGAGAGAGAGAGAGAGAGAGAGAGACAGAGAGAGAGAGACTCTGTTTGTTTGGGAGGAAGTCAGGGAAGAGAACAAGGGTCTCTGCTGGATAATCCAGATAATTCTCTCAGGTCTTACTCAAGACATCAAGGAAGTACTTCTACAAGCCTGCAAGAGCCATGGCATCATTGGGCTTAGGGTGCCCCCTAATGCACATACAACTGCAGTGACCAAAGACATAGATCACAGTGCCCAAATCTCTTTGAAAAGGGACTCGGAAAGCCTTCCCAAGAAGGATGGGCACAGACAAGCTCAGACTGAGAAGACTATAATAAATACCTAACTCTTCAACACCCAGAAACTCACAAACATCTACAAGCATCAAGACTACCCAGAAAATGGCTTCACCAAATGAATGAAATAAGCACCTGTGACCAGTACCAAAGAGACAGAGATATGTGAACTTTCACACAGAAAACACAAAATAACTGTTTTGAGGAAGCTCAACAAAATTTGAGATAACACAGAGAAAGAATTCAGAATCCTATCAGATGAAATTAGTGAAGAGATTGAAATAATTAAAAAAAATCAAGCAGAAATTCTGGAGCTGAAAAATACAATTGCCATACTAAAGAACACATCAGAGCCTCTTAACAGTAGACTTGATCAAGCAGAAGAATTAGTGAGCTTGAAGACAGTCTATTTGAAAATACACAGCCAGAGGAGAAAAAAGAGAAAAAGAATAAAAAAGAATGAAGCATAAATGTAAGATCTAGAAAATAGCCTCGAAAGGGCAAACCTAAAGTTATTGGCCTTAAAGAGGAGGGAGAGAGAGAGCGAGAGAGAGAGAGAGCGAGAGAGAGAGAGATCAGGGTGGAAAGTATATTTAAAGAGAAAATAACAGAGAACTTCCCAAACCTAGGGAAAGATATCAATATTTAAGTACAAGAAGGTGAAAGGACACCAAGCAGATATAATCCAAATGAGACTACCTCAAGACATTTAATAATCAAGCTCTCAAAGGTCAATGATAAAGCAGCAAGAGAAAAGAAATAAAAACATGCGGAAGGAAAAAAAAAAAAAACCTTTTATCCTAAATTAGCATATCCTGTGAAAATATCCTTCAAACATGAAGGAGAAATAGACTTTCCCAGACAAACAAAAGTTGAGGGGTTTCATCAATACTAGACCTGTCCTACAAGAAATTCTAAAGCCAGTTCTTTGGTCTGAAAGAAAAGGACATTAGTGAGCATTAGGAAATCATCTGAAGGTACAAAACTCACTAGTAATAGTGGGTACACAGAAAGACACAGAAAACTATAACACTATAATTGTGGTGTGTAAACTACTCATATCTTGAGTACAAATACTAAAAGATGAACCTATCAAAAATAGTAACTACAACAATTTTTCAAAACATAGACAATATAATAAGATATAAATAGGAACAACAAAAAGTTAAAAAGTGGGGGATGAATTTAAAGTGTAGAGTTTGTATGAGTGTTCTCTTTACTTGCTTGTTAGTTTGTTTAAGCAATCAGTGTTAAGTTGCACTTAGTCTAAAATAAGGAGTTATAAGATATTATTTGTAAGCTTCATGGTAACCTCAAATCAAAAAACATGCAACAGATATACACAAAATAAAAAGCAAGAAATTGAAAAATACCACCAGAGAAAATTGCCTTCATGAAAAGGAAGACAGGAAAGAAGGAAGAGAAGACCACAAAACAATCAGGATACAAATTTTAAAATGACAGGAGTAAGTCTTTACTTATCAATAATAACATTGAATGTAAATGGACTAAAGTCTCCAACCAAAAGACATAGAGTGGCTAATTCATTAAAAAAAAATCCAATGATCTATTGCCTATAAAAAATGCTCATCACCTATAAAGTGATGTAGACTGAACATAAAGGGATGGACAATTATATTCTATGCAAATGGAAATGAAATGAGCAGGAGTAGCCATACTTATATCATACAAAATAGATTTCAAGACAAAAACTATGAGAAGAGACAAAGAAGGTCACTATATATTGATGAAGGGGTCAATGCAGCAAGAGGATATATAAGAAGTTTAAATGTATTTAAATTTAATACACTGGGGCACCCAGATATATATATAACAAATATCATTAGAGCTAAAGAGAGAGATAGACCCCAATACCATAATAGCCAGAGACTTCAACATCCAACTTTCCACATTGGACATATCTCCTAGACAGAAAATCAACAAAGAAATATCTGACTTAATTTGCACTATAGACCAAGTGCACCTAATAGATATTTACAGAACATTTCATCCAATGGCTACAGAATACACATTCTTTTACTCAGCATATGAATTATTTTCAAGGATAGGCCATATGTTAGGCCACAGAATGTCTTAAAAATTAAAAAAAATTGAAATAATATCAAGTATCTTATCTAACTACAATGGAATAAAACTAGAAAACAATAACAAAAGGAATGTTGGAAACTTTACAAACACTGGTAAACAATATGCTCCTGAATGACCAGCGAGTCAATGAAGAAATTAAGAAGGAAACTGAAAGATTTCTTGAAACATATGATAATGGAAACACAACATAAAACTTTTGGGATACAGCAAAAGCAGTACTAAGAGGAAAGGATATGACAATAGGCACCTTCATCAGAAAAGTAGAAAAACTTCAAATAAATAACACAATTATACATCTTAAAGAACTGGAAAAACAAGAGCAAATCAAATTCAAAATTAGTATAAGAAAAGAAGTAATAAAAATCTTAACAGAAACGACTGAAATTTAAATAAAAATACACATAAGATCAATGAAATGAAAAGTTTGTTTTTTGAAAAGTTAAACAAAACCAAGAAACTTATAGCCAGACTAAGAAAAAAAGAGAGAAGACCCTAATCAAAAAAAATTCTGATATGAAAAAGGACACATTACAACCAATACCACAGAAATTCAAAGGATAATTACAGGCTGCCATGAGCAACTTTATGCCAATAAATTGGAAAACCTAGAAGAAATGGGTAAATTCTTAGACAAATACAACCTACCCAAATTGAATCATGAAGAAATTCAAAACCTGAACAGACCAAAAACAAGTAACAAGATCAAAACCATAATAAAAAATCTTCCAGCAAAGAAAAGTCTTGGACCTGATGCCATCATTGCTGAATTCTACCAAGCATTTAAAACCAATTCTACTCAAACTATTCTGAAAAATTGAGGAGGTGGGAATACTTCCAAACTCATTCTACAAGGCCAGTATTACCCTGATACCAAAATCAAAGACACATCAAAAAAAGAAAACTACAGGCCAATATCACTGATGAACAGTGATGTAAAAATCCTCAGCAAAATAGTAGCCAACCAAATTCAATAACACATTAG